AAGGAGCTGTTCATTTATGCAGTCTTCAGTATTTCCCGCTCCTCATTTCCAACTAAAGTCACCACACTTAACTGTAAGCCTGTATCCAAAGTGCCCTTCATCACTTCATAGGGTTTCACCATAGACAGCAATCTGGGTTGAGCCACACATATTTATAACTCCACTGGAAAATTGAGATGTCTATCTTTTCACTTGCCCAAACTCAGGCAATTCTGAGGCCCCACAGTTTGCCCTGACCTCTCGTTCATCAATGTGTTTTACCCATTCAACTATGTTGCTCCCTTGTAGTGTGTCCCGGCCCTTTAAAACAAGGTATTCAAAACGGTTTATGGTGGTTTGATAAGCACTGATCGTGGTTCGTCAATTCCGATCGATTCATCATTCACAGAATACATTGATGATCGCATTACACCGAGTAATATATTGCACATGAAAGTCTTCATTCACTACATCCTGATCGATTGTCTTATCGTTCTCATCCACCCACACGCACCTCATTGTGATATATACAGTTACCATTACCATTTATAAAAAATCTCCTGTACCCTACCTGATCCGACTCGTAATCAAAAACCAACACGTCGCAAATGAGCTCCATTAAGAGTTTTGTGCATAAACCAGCCATCACCGATGTTATTGGTCTTGCGTGTTATATTAATATGCATATTTCTGTCCGTGTGACAAACAGTGAACATTTTTAAGTGGAATGGAAACACGACGAATTCATCTTTGAAGTGTAAACATATAAGTTTACACTGGTTATACAAATACACATACCCAATGACGGATGACAGCGTTTCTGTATGTGATGATACTTGCATAGAATCATATCCGAATGACATTTACATTCCATAAAATAGGCGTGCAACCATCGTTTTTTTATTTGCTATCATATTAATAAGAAATTCATCAAACGTATTACTGCAGAGTGGAACAAGATTAACGTATCTGATAAAGAGCACTAAACCTTTCTCCCGCATACCAGAAAATATGGAGAAACACTACAGCCTGTGTGAAAGAAGGTAGGCCGTTACAAATTAAGGAACTTCACTGAGGAAACTGCCGAACGCTTAGGTCTGAAAGCGACAAAAGATGATCCGAGAACACTGGTGTAAATGTTTTCACCAGGCTTGGACCAAGAACATTTTACAAATCGAGACAACTTCAAGATATTTTAGAGAGTAAGCTTCGGTGATACAGAGTGCCAGTAATAGAGTCGCAATGAACAACGACAAATTAACCGACATTGGGTATCAATGATTGGGGCGCAGACCAACTAAACGTTTGGCTTAGACAGTCTTGACGTTGCCGGAAACTGTAAGGACCAATCCCGGGACAACCGACGAAGAGCAGTATAATTGCGGGCAAT